TGTAAGAAGGCTAGTGTACAGCTTTCTTTTGGTTAGAATTTACCTATTGTGTCTTTTTCATCTATTTTTTTTTCATTATATTATGGGGCTACAGATGTTCGGGTTACATATGTTGCCCTTGCCCTCCCTCCCCCCTCGAGTCAGAGCTTCAAGCATGTCCATCCCCCAGATGGTGCACATCGCACTCATTGTGTATGTATATACCCATCTCCTCCCGTCCCACACCTGCCCAATACCCAATAAATGTTATTCCTGTATGTCCACTTAGGTGTTGATCAGTGAAACCAGTTTGATAGTGAGTACATGGGGTGCTTATTTTTCCATTCTTGGGATACTTCACTTAGTAGAATGGGTTCCAGCTCTATCCAGGAAAATACAAGAGGTGTATATCACAGTTGTTTTTTATAGCTGAGTAGTACTCCATGGTATACATATACCACATTTTATTACTCCACTCATATATTGATGGGAACTTGGGTTGTTTCCACATCCTTGCAATTGTGAATTGTGCCGCGATAATCATTCAAGTGCATTCATCTATTGTTTTAAACATTCTAGTGTATTTATATGAAACATGTTTTCCCCTAAAATATATTTAAAAGATTTAAAAAGATCCAATCTGAGTTTTTATACTTTTAATAGGCAATTTTAATCTGTTAATTATTGTGATTCCTGATGTTATAGATTGTTTCCTGCCATCTTATTTTGTATTTTTATTTAATTATTTTTCATTCTTTTCCTTACTTTTGCAAATTAATTTTTTACAAATTATTTTTCCTCCACTACTGTTTTGAAAGTTATGCTTTATTTTTTAAATTCTTTAAGGATTACTCTTATGTTTTAGCTTACATATGTAATTTTAGATTTTTCCAACAAAGCTAACAATTATTTGATCCATACCTCTATCACCAACAAGATTTTAGCCAGCTCCTTTAGAATTCTAGGCTTTATGCAGGGAACCCAGTTCCAATTCCCTAATATGCTGGAGGGGGTCTACAGTCTCTTTTTCTCAATATTGAAATTTTAGTTTCTAAATTTTTCAACTAAAAAAATAAAAAGAAGGCCAGTGTAGCAGGAGTGAAGTTAGTGGCAAAGGTAGAACATCAAATCAGAGAAGGACACCAGGAGATAAGGTCATGGAGGCAAGCAGTGGTCAGATCCTATTATACCAGAGAATAAATGCAATGGAAAGCTATTGGGAGGTTTTAAGCAGAAATCAGAAGTGATGTGATTTACTGTTAAAAAACAAACAAACAAACAAAAAAACGATAATTCTAGCTGCCACGTGGGAAAAAGGTAACAGGCACTTAGGAGACTGGCTGGTGTCTGAAACCTGGGAGGTTTTGGTGGAAGAGATGAGAAATGATCATGCTGAGGATATATTTAGAAGGTAATATCGCTATGTGCCTCCCTATGCTGAGATTCTCCTTTCAGGGCTAAAACTTTGAAGGCTCAATGTTTTATTTTTATAAAAGATATTGTTCTCTTTTATAAGCTCATTTTAAACATGTCATCTATAAATAATGGTAAACTTTTGAAGTCACATAAAAGAAAGTTGGTTTCTTTTAAATGTCTAATATTCATGTTGCTAAGAGAAGATTAAGTCACATTTTATCTAAGACTAAATGAAATCTTTTATCATTTGTTCCTATTAAATTTTCTGACTGGAATCCTGCAGCCCAGACAGTGAAGAAGCTAAACGTTCTCAGTGTATCATTTGTCTAGGTGCTTGTGCATGAAAGCATCTTTATCCCTTAAAAAAAAAATTCACAAAACATTTTTAATGCATGTCTATTCAAGAAAATGAACTGAAGTCACAGGATTTAATAAATATAGATATCAAATCTAAATAACTAAGACTACTTTTATGATGTAGAACCTGCCACCAATACTCTGCTTTATGCCTTTCCTGCCATTGTGTTGACTCCCTTTTTGGACAATGGTCCATCCTCCCCCCCCCCCAGGCATACATTATCCAAGATAGCTTTAATGATGCAAAAGATCACCAACCACACAGTTTCTACTTAGGAATGAGATTTGATGGTCCTAGCCTTGCCAGAAGATGGCTGCATGACACAGAATGCATCTTTTCTCTCTGTAAGAATTGATTTTCTTCTGGGAGGCCAATGTGAAAGGACCGCTGGTGGTAAGGAGTTCAAGACTAGCCTGAGCAAGAGTACTCCAGTTACTCAGGAGGCTGAGGCAGGAGGATCTCTGGAGCCCATGAGTTCAAGGTTGCAGTCAGCTATGATGATGCCATTGCACTCTCTACACGGAGTGACAGAGCAAGACTCTAAGAAAAAAAAATTGCTTCTTTTTTTTGTTCAACTGAGATTAGACTAGATAATCCTGAAACCATTATTAGCTTCAAGATTTAAAACTGTCCCTCCTCTGATTTTCACACATGGTCAACATAATGTATTACTTGCTTTAATTACGTTTTTGTATTGGTAATTCCCACATCTATGTCTCAAGTTCAAGTCTCTCTCCTGAGGTCCATTCTCGTGTAGCAAACTCCTCCTGAAATCTCTACCTGTGTATTGCACAGGCACCTCAAACACTCTAGGTACAAGGTGACTCATTACATTTCCCCAGTAACTTGCTCTTCTTTCTGCACACTTTCCTTAGATGTCTAAGCACCTCTCTCCCTTTCAGTCTGTATCCCACCTTTCTTGCAAGTAACCACCTGCTTATCTTTCATGACTCCACTGAAGAGTCACCTTCTTGTATGAAACTTTTTGAAACCCACATCCTTTCCAGGTATAATTGTCTGCTGCCTTCTATGGTATGCTGAGTAGACTGGTGTCAGAGCACTCACATGAGATTAGTGCACCTGTTTATTTACGTGTTTACATTTGGAACTCCTTGAGGGTAGAGATAGTTTGTTATTTCCTCGCAGTTCTACCCTCAGCTTAGAAACTATTCCATAGTTAGGTGATTAACAAATATTGAATGAACAAGTGAAAATGAAAATTCTATGATCTGGGATTTCTCCTTTCATGTCTTACCTGGTATATATCCTCCCGCCAACAGTCCCATCCAGACACAGGGGAGCCACTGGCTCCCTTGCTTCCTGCCCCATCTCACCTGCTCACCTGCTGGTGAAGACCCATAGAGATGCCAACCTGCGTTTGATTGCACACATCCTTCTGATGTGGGAATTGAGTGTCCTTTTCATGTCTATTCTGTTTTGCAAAGTGCAGAGACCCCATCTATTTCTCTCCTATCTTCCCTGTGGTTGAGATTAGAATAATTATGTCTAGGGTGGGAGTGAGGGGGACACTTGCCCTTTTCCCCAAAAGTTCGCTGAAAGACCCACTCACAATTAAGGCAGACTAATAAGAGAAAGGTTTATTTACCATGTGCATGGGGAGAACCACAGAGTTATTACCCAATATCAGTTCAGATATTTTTATACTGGCTTTCTAGAGGGGAGTGGGAGCTGAGCAGTGTAGGTAATTCTGTTTAGGGGCAATAAATGGTTGCTAGGGAGGATGAATGGAGGGGGGAAACAGATTGACTAGTAAATGATTCCCTTAGCAAATTAAGTTAACCTGAGAGACAGGTATTACATTTCAAATGATGCGGGCCAGGTCTGGTTGCATTTTTGAACAATTTTCCTGCAATATACTGAGATAGCAGGGAGAAGAAGGGAAGTCAATTGTTCTTTTGATCTGTCACTATAGTTTATGCAGACAGAGGGAAAGCCCCTTCCAATGCTTTTTGATCTTTGATATCAAAGGGCCTCTAATTTAAAATACTTTTTATATTATACCAAGGACTCATATCTTGGGGTGAAATTTCCTGAGATCCTGCACTGATCAGTTTTTAATACTTGTGTCATTCCTTGGATCCCACATTTGTTTGACTCAGTCATTCTTGGTAAACAACTGAAATTTTCTTCAACACTGGACATTTATTAATTAATCCAGTCTTATCATGAGCAATTAACAAATGTACTTCCAGCTTCTCAACATGTTAATGAAATTTAGACCTGACACTTAGTTCTCACTCAGTAAGTGCGCTTGGGTAAGTGAACTGTTACACTTGAGTGGCTGAATTTGTCAGCATCATCTCAAACCTCCTCCACTCCCTGGCCAGGCTGGAAGAAATTTACTAGGTGATTTATTTTAGTAGAGTCAAGAAGTCATTTGTGATATGTAAAAAAAAAAAAAAAATAGTAGAATCAGCTTTCCTTCCCTTTGTATTTTTTAAACTTCCTGCAGGAGTAATTAACATGAAAGTCACATACAAATGAGAGACAAGTTTGCCTTTTAAGAGAAGTTTCTTTCTGTGAGGTCCATTCAGGGTTGTCTGAAATAACTAATGTTCTCAGGTCTGCCCTTGGCCTTCTTTCTCTGAGTGAGTAGTACTTTGTCACTCCTAGTCATTTTCTTCCCCTGCCATCCTTGCTGACATTTGTTGATAGAATCAGGAACAGCCCTTTGAAAGTTAGTGTACCTTTGAAAAGCTCAACAATATTGTGGACTAGCTTAGCATTCAAGATTGAACATGATACAGAACCCAGTTTAAACCAAGTAAACATTAGACACCAATAAGGATAGTAATTATTATTATTCTTCATTAAGCGTTTTTATCATGTGCCAGTTATAATTGCATAATTAATGAATTCAATTCTCAAAACCTATAATGTGAGCATCCCATACCAGCCTTTTATAGATGAGGAAGGAAAGGACTGGAGAGGTTAAGTAGTTTGCCTGAGGTCACACAGCCAGTAGATGGCCAAGTTAACATGTGAACTCCTGTCTGGACATTGTCCATTTCCCCAGTACTGACAAGAAAATGCCCATGTCTTGAACAAGAAGGGTTCTTGAGGAGAGGTGCTTAAGACAAATGGTAACCTGTTCCACAGGAATGTAGCCCTATTTCTGTTGTCACTTAGTTGGAAGGAGCTTCGGAGGCTGAGATGTTGAAACTGTGCACATAATGAATTGAACAGAGATTTGACTGACTCACACAGACATTTCTTTGCCTTCTAGGAAGATTTCCAGCCCGCAGCCGCCTCAGAGACCAACTGGGAATCAGTCACAAGCTCTATTTCAGTAAGTAATTTATTACTCGGTTGCCAGCGAAAGAAACTGATGGAATAGCTAAGGTCAACCCCAAAAGGACTTCACCTGCATTAAGGACCTGTGGTTTGACCAAAAACCAGATCTCAAGCAGGATATATTCCTCCATTTAATCTAGGTTACAGTGGATTATGTCAGACACCCTTTTTCCTCTCTTCCAGAAAGGTTTCCAGGAATTGCCAGTATGGGCTAGGAGCTTGGGCTAGACAATGACTTAAATTATTTGTCAGTTTCAAAGCAGATCATTCCAAGAAAGGTCTGTCCAGACATCAAACATATCAAAGTGGTTCATGGCCCCAGCTCAAGTGGGGAATTTTGAAATAACTTTTTGAATATTCCAGAAGAAACTGTTAACCTTTGCATTTTCAAGGGTCTTTTTCAGATTTGAAAAATCCCAATGTTTACAGTAAGATAACTTAAGTGCAAAACAGGCATGTATCCTATTTAACTTGGATATGAAACACAACTCACCCTGAAGCTGTAAAATGGTTCATGCCCCAATTTTTTCTCCAAATTTAGTCATTTCTCAGTATTCTGTCTTCTTATCTACTTTGAACAGAAAGAGCAGACCTTGTTTTTACCCATCCTATGTGTCGCACTTATGTAGCAATGAAACCGAAGATAATAAATGCAGTTGTTCATAAAAAGGTCAAGAGCATGGAGAACGCTTGTCTACGGCTCTAAAGTGGGTCTGAGTGGCTGAGTCAGAGTTGATTTTTTTTTTTTTCCAAAAGTGATATGCTATCTTTTGCTGTTCAGGGGATTTTCTTTTTAAATTCCCTCATATGGCAGGATTTCCTCAGTTTGGGATTCTGTGACTATTAAATTCACCTGATTTGGCTGCTGGACTATCTGATCAAGAGATCAGACACATCTCTGGCAGTGATATTAAGAGTGTTTTATTTGTGCGTTTTTGACAGTACAGAATGCATCCTCTGAACCAACCTCAGTGTAGACAATCATTGTCAGTTAGGTGAAAATCAAAACAAAAGCAGATCACACTGAGGAGCTGCTCAGGCAGCTCAGGAGGGTTGGACACTTGGCAGCCTGAGGCTGATAACTCAAAGTAGACACCAGCAGCAGCTTTTGCAGCTGAGACTGTGTGTCAAGGAATCCTCTAGCTTCTCAAGTATCTTGTAAATGATAACTCAGGGTTGTCTATTCATCTCTGCCTGAAGTGCACAATTATACACCTTAAAGGACTTTTACTTAGCTAGTTAAAGGTAATCCCTGACCTTTAAAAGAAGAGGTATTATCCCATCCCTTGAGAGTATCTGGAGAAATTCAGCCTTGGGTTCACATCCCCTGGAAACTCTTCTGGTTTGAGTTTCAAGCCAAGGTTCTGCTTAGCTTTCTTGGAAGATCAGGGCAAACTATTAACAGCTTCTGTGCTCAGCATTCCATTCTGCAAGAACTTCTAGAGTAGGCGCAAGGGCCTTTAGACCTCCCATTAACTTCTGTTTACTTTGTTTTTGTTGAAAGTGGCTTACAGTTTTCAAAGCATCTTTTTTACAAATTGTTATTGTTTTGAAGTCATTTAGATAACTTTAGAATTGACTTTTATAAATACATAACAAAAGCTGAATGAGATCATATTTACTGCGCAACTGAAGGAGGCACACCCAATTAGCTATTTTTCTCAAAATTAGTCCTAAAATATTTACCTCAGGGGGAAAAAAATGTTTTCGTAGGTTTATTAGGTTACCTAATATTTTCTTAGCCATCATCATTGTTTCTGTCAACTGCCATGAGTCAAAACTTGAAAACGGCTGTAAAGCTTGTACATGAGGACTCGTTTGCATTTTACCTATGGTTCACATTGCTCTTCAGCCCAGTGTTAGAAGAGATTAGATTTTCCCCTCCTGCTCAGGAACTGAGAACCTCTACAACTTTCTCTTGGAGAGATAATGTGGGTATACACTGCGGATCTCTGGCCATGTGAGAAGCTACCCCAGAAAACTCCTGCAGCCATTTTCCCCAGAGCTATTCAAAAGTTTCCACTTGTGTGGCTTGATTAATGCCCCTGCTTTTATTTCAAAAAACAGAGAAGCATTTTTTAATCTTGAGGCTTTTGTATGCTGCAGTGCTCCTAACTTCGGTCAGTTCATTTTGATGTTTCGGTTCTTAGACCCATACTATTGTGATACCAGGCTAATTGTAAACCATCTGGTGAATATGAACCAGGTGAATTATCCAGAAAATACAAGTTGAATAGGGGTTTCGAGTTATAGTACTGAATTATAAGTATTTTCCACCCCTAGCATGTGACAGAAATGATGTACTTAAGTCTGGGTTTCATTCATATCAGGCAGAAACACACACACACACACACACACACACACACACACATATACACACCCCTAGATTAAAGAGCTGCCTTATCAGAAACAGAAGAACAAATATGGTTGCCCTTGGATGAGCCATATCATATCCACAAGATGACTGTGGAGGTGTCTTCAGTATGACTTGAACTATTAACAAATCTCTAGATTCTTCAGTATTGTGTGACAAAGGCCATGCCACCGGATAAATGATTGTTATTACCTGGTTACACCTATGTAGAATATAGCGTAGATTCATGAGCAGGTAATGAAAGTAGCATGGTGGAAAGATTTGGTCAGGAGAGAATATCCACCTATTTTAACAGGGATGAATGAAAATTAGATGCATGTTTTCTCTAAATGAAAAAATAAAAATAGAATTGACCTGAGATATATATGCTGACCTATATGTATATACATCAATTTAACTCATTCTCTCACCCTAATCTCCCCACTCAACTTCCCCTAAGAGCCATATTTGAAAACTGCTACTAAGTTACACCAATGGTAGATTAATGCTTTTACACCTCTTCATTTTGCTGAAGAAGGACTGTTCTGAGAGCAGGTAATCATCAAATCACTTATGCCCTTTGGTCCTTGTTTGGTTAAAGAGAGACAACATTACCTAAGAGTGAGAATATAAGTTGTGGGCTTTGCTGTCTAAGACTCTACCATGCCTATTATTTCTTGATAGGATCCTACGATTAAATTTCAGAGAAGCAAATTTTCATTAATTCCTCTTTTCTCTTAGTGATAGGAGATATTTGCCCTTGGGGGACTTTATTTGTTTGGCAGTTTCTTTAAAGACATTTAAAAATCATTTGAGGCTATGTGCTCTCTATTTCCTTGTTAATGGGTCATGAATTTTTACAGAGATGTTTGAATCATGGCTCATTTACCTCTAGATTGTACAAGGGTTAGTGAAATAAGTGCTTGAAACCTTATGTAGGGATGTATTGCATAGCAAAATACATACTCCTTTCCAGACATTAAATGATGTTATGTTCCTCATTTAAAGAGTATTCCTAAGAATGTTTTAATGGCAACTGGGATCACTTGCAAACTATAGCACTTTAAAAAAAATATGCTTCCCATATGAATTTGCCACTCTTAAGGCAAGAGAGCCAGTTTCATGGCTAATTATCCTTGTTGACATTAAATTAGTTGGTTAAAGTGCCAGATTTTATCAAAATGTCTCCAGAGTAAATTCAGACACTGCTCACACATCATCTGCAATACCAGGTGATCTGGAAAGGGGGGACATGGAGGCTAAACATGAGTGAATGAAATGAACTATCAGAACTTGCATGGAAGGAGTTTGAAATTTCAATTTTCACCATTATTTGTTGATCTATGGATGATAGGGGACCTTGAACCAAGAAATGAGATAAACTTAGTTTTGATATTTCCACCTACCCTATATTTTTACATCATTACAGTTCACATGAACTGGAAGTTTTATGACCTGCCTGGCTTTGATTTGCAAAATACTGAGTGATTATCTTATATAAATCAATTGCTCTTATTTAAGACTATGGCAAGCTAATGCAAGGTGGTTTTTGCATGGTGTGTAGACATATGGTGTCTTATACCCAGAAGCCTGTTTATGTTCCTTCCATATAGTTGAATGACTGTTGTATTTCATAGCAATGAACTTTTTCTGAGTACACTGAGCTGTATGTCACTCTTAGGGGGTATCCTATCACTCTCCATCAGTAACGGATCCCACTCTGACTGCGGATGCTCTGGACAAAACAGTTGCAGAATTTGATACCGTGGAAGATCTGCTCAAGCACTTCAACCCAGAGTCATGGCAAGAAGATCTTGAGAATTTATATTTGGATACCCCTCATTATCGAGGCAGGTCGTACCATGACCGGAAGTCAAAAGGTAAGAGACAGAGGCTTGTGAGTTCTTCGTAAACAGATAAGAGTGTTAGTAGTACAGACTGAGTATCCCCTATTTAAAATGCTTGGGACCAGAAGTGTTTCCGATGTTGGATTTTATTTTGGATTTTGGAATAATGACATTTAATACTTACTGGTTTAACATCCCTAATTTGAAAATCTGAAATCCAAAATGTTCCAGTGAGCATTTCCCTTGAGCATCATGTCGATGCTCAAAATCTTTCAGATTTTGGAGCATTTTGGAGTTTGTATTTTCTAATTAGGGATACTTAACCGTAACAGTAAGTATGGATGAGCAATGCAATATATTTAATTCACTTAAATGCACGATTGCAGTCAGTGCATTATCACATGTTTCACTGCGCTTTCAAATGAAGTTCTGTGTTTTGCACAAACTGCGTTGTTTTCATAGGACTAAGAAAGATTTCACCCAAAGATTTGTCATAGTTTGGAACTAGAAGAGACCTTATAAATTATCTGAACCAGTTTCTTGCTCCTTGGCAAGTAAGGCATTAGCCCCAATTTTACAGTGGAGGCAACAAAAGTCAGGGGAGGTAAATAATTTGCCAAAGTAATAGCAGTAGGGAAGACATGAGAATCGTGGTCTTTTGCCTAAAATGACAGTGTTTGTGTAATGGTCTACTATGCCTCTTTGATGGATTTGAGGATTGGTTGAGTCCAGTCCTGTCAATTTTGACAGCAGAGGCTCCTGTTAAAGCAATTGACAAACTTCTGTTGTAAGATTTCACCTCTACCCATTTGATGTCCATTCTATAATTTTTTAAATCAGGATCTACTGTGTACTTGGTGTCTGGGTGGTTCAAGTGTTTGGGATATAAATGTCCCAAGGGAGAGGAAACAAAGGTCTGGGATAGTGAGAGCACATGTTCAATAGGAAGTTTCAAGAAAGCAGAATGAGGGGAGAGGAAGAGAAAACATTCAAGCAGAGAGATCATCATGAGTTAAAACAACACTTAAACTCTTAAAAAATTAATAGCCTCGTCATACATCTGAGTGATATGATCTTAAGATGAGAATGTTTTTTGGAGTATATATCTCAAATTAATAAAGAAATGAAGTGTAATTAACTCTGATTGAATAAAATTATCATTTCTGGTCTGTGTCATTGCTTTATGTGATAAAATTTGTTACCATTAAGATTTTCCTGAAAAAGTCTTGTAAGGTTGGCTTGCACCATAGCTATGAAGTTATTTAGCTAAGATACAGCTTGTTCCTACACTTTGTAATATTAAAGGTACTTTTAAGAACTGGGTTCCTTTAGTACAAGCAGTTATAACATTTGGGCCCAAATGACTATTAATATTAACTTCTGCCTGGGCCTTCTGCTTATGGCTCAGGTCAAAAGTCTCATATAGTTAAAATACACAGCTAAGAGGGGGACATGAAAGTTACCGGTGGCCCTGATGTTATGGAGATATGCCACATGCAGATCACTAAAACTCTCAAAGTGAATCTCCTCAGGGCTCAGATTGGATTCAGTTCAAAGAAGAAATTGCTTTTCTGTAAGTCATTGCTGTATTTGGATCCCTACTAGGTCAACTTGAAAGAAAGTAAAATAGTCATGTTTTAAAAAACTCACAAGAAATATTAAAAATGGCATTGGACAACAAAGCCATTAAATATGACTCTGTGTCTTCCGCTATTCAAGGAGTAGCCCTTCTTGGCACCCCTTTTCTGGAAATATTAAAAATTTTAAATCATCTTACTTTTTTGTTTTTTCTTAGAAGTTATGTTCAGTTGGAGGCAGGAGGCCTGGATTCAAATCCTAACCCTGCCACTTACAAGTTTTGTGACTTTCCAGCAAGTACCCTGATCCTTCCAATGTCTCAGTTTCCTCACTGGCAACATGCCTGTAATAGCACCTGCTTCCGGGAGTAGTTTGTGGTGCCATCCAGAGCACCTGGCATATAATACTTGTTCAAGAATTGTTGGCTAGCTGTCGCAACTTAGAATTCTGAAATATATTTGTATCACTTCCTTGATGAAGACTTCCTTGTGTCTTGTCCTGTCCTTGTCATGCCTATCCCAGGCAAAGTTAGGAGTACTTGGGATGCCACAACCTTTTATATAACCTATTACTGCACAGTTATTGTGTGGTTGTGTTTTCTCTAAGGGGTTGTGCGATCCCAGGAGCTTCTGTGGGTCTCAAACTTGGGCTAAAAATCACCTGGGGAGATTTTAAAAACTACAGATGCCTAGTCCTACCCCAGACACATTCACTAAGAATCTCTGGAGGGTAGGGCTGGAGTACTGATGTTATTTACGGCTCTTAGGAGATCTAAGTTTAGAGGTAGCCAGGTTCAAGAACCATTATTTTAGAGTTTGCTCATTGTGTACCACTTGGCACAGTCTTTGAGTCACTGACACATTTTAGATGCTCAATTAATGTTTGCAGAATTGAAGATATTAATAATCCAGCATTAGCATATTTCTAAAGTTTACAGAAACCTTCCCCATAGTCTGAATAGTGTAGCTTTATTAAGAATGCCTTTGGTACTGATAAAGTCTTGCAAGAGCATTGGAGGTGACATTCGACTCAATGTTTGTGACAGAGTAAACATCATCTCTCTCCCCTGTTGGCTTAGGTTCCATTTCTTAATCTGTTGTTTAAAATGGCCCTAAGGCAGATTCGGACAGTTTCCTTTAAAACCTGCCAAGTCACCACTGACTCTGCACTTGTTTAAATGTGTGACTTAATTGTTTATCATCCCACTGATGCTGAGACACCTGCATGTATCACAAAAACAAGGGAAGTCAGGTTTAATATTTCAGCTGGTATTTTCTGCTTTTGGAATTTAAAAATACAGATTTAGGGCTTGTATCCTAATGTGTGAAGAAGAGAGCAGTCAATATAGAGTAAAAACAGGAAAACACTATGAATAATGGAAGTGCATTAGGTGTCAAATAAAACATTGACTTGACAGGATCACCAGCAAAGTTTCCTCCTACCAGTGTACAATTTCTTAGCAATGTTGTGCAGAAACACGCTTGTCATTAACGAATAGTTATTGAGGATCCGTCCTTCTCATTTGCCCAGAAAGATCAAAAGTGGCATTTTTCATGATTCTAAAAAGCAGAATCCTAAGATGACACTTCGGTGTGAATATACAAAACACAAAGTTTTATAAACTCTGAAATAAAATGCAAACACACTGGGTGGAGAACTTATGTAATGAAACAGTTCATATTCTAAAGTGAAGTTTTATGTTTTGCTTCTTTTTATTTAGTAGAAAGAAGGTTAGGTGTGTGTGCGTTTTGTAATCTCTTCCAGAAGAGAGTTGAAAATGGAAAATAAAAGGACAGTGAAGTTTGGAAAGAAAAAGAGAAGAGATAACATTGCCAAATATTAAAGCCAGAATGTTGACATATAAGGTCTACTATTTTTTTTTTAATTCACAAGTAATAGATAACCTCAACCTTGTCAGTCAAAGCTCTGGAATGAAGATAATATAACAAGTTAATATATCCAACTTAATGGTTATGGAGAAAAGGGTAGCATGTACAGTTGAAATCTATACATCACTGCAGTTCTGAACCCAATTTTTGCCACTAATTTCAACCTCATGTTTTCAACCTCAAAGCTACCCAAAAGTTAACAAAAAAGTTTCAAGTTCAAGTTGCATTTACTTTTTCTGATTGGCATGCTAATCACTATAGCAAATTTGTACAAAATTAGGTGAAATTATATGGATGTTCTTTCTATAAGTTACATAATTACCACCTAAATCATTGCATAGCACTGTAGTTGAACTCAAACTAAACTGTGATTCATTTAAAATATATACCCATGAACTTAGGGGCAGTGTATTTCTATTCAAGTTCATAGCACAAAATTCAACATTTCTAAATTAAGAAATGATCAGCCCTGAACTCCATTAGACGGAACATTGAATGAAAGATGATTTATAGAGGTTAACAAAGTAAGTGAGATCTGTTCTTTTACTTATTCCAGGAGAACTTAACTTTCCAGAATGATAGCGTTTGCCACAGAGAAAACTACAACACATAATAGCAAAGAGGGAAGCCTGTTCTCACAGTTTGTGTTATGATTAAAATATGAGCAAAATTGTTGAGGCACTGCAAATTAATAGTTTTAAACTATTAGTAAAAGATATTTTTCTCCAAAGAGTTGTCATTTTTAGATACACATGCCAAAATTTGGCATACACTCCTTTTTTAAAAAGTATTTTAATATTGAGTGCAGTGAATAACTTGATATTAAATTAATTCCAAATGATGAGGTTTGAAATATGATTTTTACAGACTCTAAATGGTTACATGTTGTAACTCAGGGACAGTTACCCATTTCTGAGTATCTAATACCAATTCTATTATTTTCTACATGACATTTTGCTCTAAGGTCTAACATATAACTCTCATTTGCAAACTATTGATAAGTAACTGGCATAAGAAACTGATGAATAAACGAAATAAATATGCTTCTTATCAAGATATTTGAATTGGTTCTGAAGTTTCTTAGGTCAAAATATTTTTTGTAAAAAACAGTGAATCATTTATTCTTATTTCTTTGTTATGCCACTGCATGCTAACCTGGAGTATACAAATTTTGCTTTTTCGAAAATGATTTAGAATGTAGGAAATAATTTCACAGTGTATTGAAGCATAAATATATTTTAGCAACTGAGTGCCTACAGCTTTCTCTGTCTGCCTTTTTGATAGCTGGGGGGAAATTTGCAAAAAGCCCTTGGCTGACAACAGTGATGAATTGGATATGTCAGTCTTGAGATCGGCCCTCTGTAACTACTTCTCTGTAAATTAAACAGAGGTACCAGAGACATCAAATCAATAATAGAAACTAATGATTATCATTATTTATATTTATTAACATATTAATAATTATTTCTATTGTTAAAAGAAGCTTAACTTCACTGGGTTTCCTGAAACGTGATTTATTTGTTACCTATACCAAGTAAAAGTTTTTTTTATCAATATTAAAATTGT